CTTAGGCTTGACAGCCTGCTTTAAAGTTTCCCAGTAGGGGTGGTTCTGAAGTAAAAAGACCAATCCCCTGTTGAGGGAGGGATCGTCAGGTGGAACCCTAAACTGGAGCCAGCATCTTTTATAATTCATATTCTGGTCCATAACTTTCCATCTGCAAAAGTGACATTCCACCCGCGGGTATATTATTATGCAGAGGATTATCTAGATATGAATTATGAAATTATATGTTGCGCGGTTCACGAGTTCTATGTTTTGGCTCCCCTGATGGTCCGAGATAATTTGAATGACCCATCAAACTGTTCGCCTGCTCCTAGCCAATCTGACGGGATGTCTGGTTTTTATGTAAGTCTCTCATATTCCAAGATATTAAACATAGGGGAAAAATTGATCTTTTAAAAATGTTCTCTGGTGTGGGCTTCTTGGGAATGCCTTGAACTCCAGGGAAGGCTCCGTTATCTTTTTACGAGGTGTGAAATTACACAGGTTCTCAGGACAGTGGGACTCCAGCTCTCCTGCGGGGGGGTTTTGTAGCTCAGGGCTCCCTGCTACTCTAGCCTGCCAGTGACCCACAACCCGGTGTCACGGTGGCTGAACAGAGAGGAAGGGGGAGGATGAAGGAAAAACATATTTCAGGATGGTTAATCTCTTCGCCAAGATGGAGGTTGAAGCCAAAATGGTTGAACTGCGTCCATCTCTGATGCACGCGTTTGCGACATGTACTATGAGAATTTTTTGCTAACATATACAATGTGTATTATATGTGTAATAATACATAATGTATAATTTGTGTAATAAAACAAGTAAAATGTGTATTATATGTCTCTCTATAGACAACATGTGCTAAGGCTGTATTCACATTTAGGCTGAATTCACACTGCAACGGAGACCTGCTGGAGCAATTCACTACTCTGGCAGGTCTCCGTTGCTTGCTGCAGTAGGAGGCAGGGATAAAGTGCATCACACAGTTTCCTTTTTACGAACTTTTCTTTGAAGTGTACAAAATGTACTCTTCATTCATGGCAATGTACAGCAGTGCGATGCACTGCGTTGCTGTATATTGCTGCGTTTTTTTGGCTTGGTGTGCTTTGCATTTTAGTGAAGTGCTAGGCTGCATTGCAGTGTGAATGGGACACATAGAAAGCAATAGTTTCCTGTGTGTCTCTGTGGTGATTGACATTTTACCATGCACATATAGTGTGAATTCACACCTTTTGGGTTCTGGAAGCACATGCAGAATCACAGCAGGTTTGTGCACACTGTCTGCCATACGTATGTGTGACAAATGTGGCATAGTAGCCCATGTACCTTTTTTGAGTGTTGAGCTTTGTGTGACTTTTGCTACATTTGACTTGTCTATTTTGCTGCGCTTGGGGGTGCCATTAACAATGAATAGAAATGTAAGTGCAACAGGCATTTTTTTGTGCACTACATAAATGTGCGCGAAATGCTAAAGAGTAAATGCTGCCTAAATGGCATTTGGAGGCTACTTGAGACACCCTGCTTTGTGTAAGTGTATAATCTTGTTGATCATATTTATTTATATTCTACATGCTATTAAAGTGTGTTGTCACTGATATTGAGATATTGAAACATTTGTGTTTCTTGTCTGTGTCATTATTATAGTCCTTGCTGCATTTTTTTTAAATTATATTTTTTAGTCTGTTTATTCATTACTTTTAGAGCAACACTTTTTAAACCATTTTGTCCCATTTTATTTGAAGATCATAAACCTGTGAAATTGAAATATTGGAAATAGCTCCAAAATAAATATGGCACTATGACAATCAGGTACATAATTACTAGCAGTTGTATAAGATCTTGTGTTTTGTAATACTGTGCTTCTTCTATTTTTGTTTTCTGGTTTTGTTGGCATTTAATTTTGCTGTTTTCTTAGTTATGTGTTTGGGAAATGAGAGAATGCATGCATGATGAGATCAAGCAGTGGGACAATGAATGAAAATTGGATTGTGCTTTATTTTGATTTGGCCAGCTCAGTCAGAGTAAGCAGGAAAGTGTTCTAGTGACAACATTCTCTTACTTCAGAATATGAATGCCAAAAAGCTGATTGATTATTGGTTAGAATAATTGGTATTTAAAACCATATCATTGTGCAGTATATCTTCTGGTGGGACCTTGTGGCTCATTCTCCCAAATAACCTGTGTACAATCATTTTTTTTTCTACCATCTCCCACCCCAGAGCCATTGTATCATGAAGACTGTGACACTTCAGGCAGATGTTTCAGTTCCCAACAGAAATAATCTACTACTTACATCGGAAAACATAGGAACTGCACAGTTGTGAACTCTTTCCTTTAACATCAACCCAAACAAATTAGATGGCCTTTAAAGCCTTGTTGCTTGGCCTTTGAGACTAGTAAGTGTATAACATTCTCCTATACAAAAAGGCAATTATAAAGCATACAGTATAATAGTGGCTTTACAGGCCCAATAAGTGTTAGAGAAGAAGGAGTTATTATAAATATCTTCTTTGGGTGAAAACTAATTATAATCACAGCAGCTACTATCATGACTTAGGTGTTTTCATTTGCAACAATTAACATAGTGCATTGATTGAAAACTGCAAGATTTTTTAGCCTCTTTGTTTTCATTGAAATTGTTCTAAGATATCCAGCCATGTATGATTAAAAAAAAATCTGTCTTTTGAACTGCTGTTTGGTTTTTCAGTGAAATATGTGCTTTGGTAGTCATCTGCAGGCTTCTGTTTTATTCCCTATTAATGTAATTAAATCTGATGAATATGTGAAATGAACATGGCTGGCACTAAATCTGAATTGAAGTTTTCGGCTCTTCAGTAGTCCTACCAAGGAAGCATTTAATTGTTGGAAGCAAATATTTTGGACACAGATAATGCACTGTTATTAAAATATAATTTCCATCTGCTTTATCTTCCCTTTTTGTACAATCCAAAATAAACATAAGACGATAATGTCAATTAGCACACCATGTGGAAAGCATAAAGTTACATCTTACAGTCTTTTGTAGAGCAAAATTCCAGTTCCTACATTTCTGTTTAATTAATTTTAGATTAGTGTCACTGCCAATTATCAGTGTGATTACTCACTGAGAAATAATGCTCAATAGGGTGCTCATTTAACTATCCTTGAAGATAAGTGTTACTAATTTACAAATCCAGTGCACCCAAGATAAAACAACAGCACGGCAGTGAAGAACATGCCTTATCGCCTCCAAGTGACATTTTAATAGAAATCTCAGACACTGAGAATGAATTACAGATGTGTGGATGGTATGTTAATTTTACAATGAGTTTCATGCAGGTTCTTACCATTATGTTTATTCCTTTCTGGCAAAGTTTTTTTTTTTTTTTTTTTTTTTTTTTAAATAAAATACTATGAATAAAGTGTTCCATGCACATTAAAGCTGGCCATGGACGAATCTTGCCCAGTTCAGCAGGGACCAGCTGAGAATCTATGGGCAGGCTAATTGTGCCCAATTTGATTGTTGTACACCTTGAGTATAACCAGCCTTTCAGATTTTTATGTGAATGTTGCTAGCAGCTAAAACCACTAGCAGTAACCACTGTGTTCTCCTGGCAGGAACGGCTTCCTCTGCTCCCCTGGTGAGAGAACACAATAGCTTAGTGGGAGATATTCTCAATCGGTGTTGATAGGGGAATTAAGCGATTTTTTTTTTTTTTTTTTTTTTAAATTTCTTTTCTGCAACCTATGGTTGCAGGAAAGAATATTGCATCGTCTTTGGGCAGCTTAAAGAGTTACTTCCATTTAGATTGGCTCTGTTTTGTGAGGATTGTATCAGAGCTTGCTCTGACTTTCAGCTAAGTTGGTGGTGTTCTTTCAACAATCCAATAGTGTAATACTGCTTACCTAAAAAAAAAAAAAAAAAAAAAAAAAAAAAACCCATAAAATATAATCCAGTAGTGTAAGACTGCATAAGTGCACCCAGCACTATGATAAACAGAATGGATGTATCATGAAAGCCACCTTGGATTGTATTTTTATGTTTTATTTTCCTGTGAGTGATAATGGTGAAAATACTCATCTGACCTTTATAATTTGAGGTCCATCCCATCTGGTGAGTGTGCCTTTCTGGTGGTGGTAAACATGATTGGAACAGGTTTGAGTTAAAGTACAACTAAGGGCAAAACATTTTTTTTCTTTAGTTTTAGATTGAGTGGAGAGGAATTAGAACCACTGTCAGGTCTTTATTGTTTGTGTGTCCCCGTTCGGGAGATTCCCTAACCTTTAAGAAAACAACTGGTCACGTTTTGGAAGTCTTGAACATGCATCCTCAGCAAAGAGACCTGAGATTACAGATTACAGAGACTTACCTTTGGCCAGCTATATACAGTATATTGGCAAACGTATTGGGATGCCTGTCTTAACATGCACATAAACTTTCATGGCATCCCAGTCTTGGTCCGTAGGGTTCAATATTCAGTTGGCCCACCCTTTGCAGCTATAACGGCTTCAACTCTTCTGGGAAGGCTGTCCACAAGGCTTAGAAGTGTGTCTATGGGAATGTTTGACCATTCTTCCAGAAGCACCTTTGTGAGGTCAGGTACTGATGTTGGATGAGAAGGCCTGGCTCGCAGTCTCCACTCTAATTCATCCTAAAGGTGTTCTATCGGGTTGAGGTCAGGACTTTCCTGCAGGCCAGTCAAATTTCTCCACTCCAAACTTGCTCATCTGTTTCTTTATGGACCTTGATTTGTGCACTGGTGCGCAGTCATATTGGAACAGGAAAGGACCATCTCCAAACTGTTCCCACAAAGTTGGAAGCATGAAACTGTCCAAAGTGTCTTGGTATACGGATGCCTTAAGAGTTCCCTTTATTGGAACGAAGGGGCCAACCCCTGAAATAACTCCACACACAATAATCCTCCCCCTTCACCAAATTTTACACTTGGCACAATGCAGTCAGGGAAGTACTGTTCTCCTGGCAATAGTCAAATCCAGACACGCCCATCGGATTGCCAGACAGAGAAGCATGACTCATCACTCCAGAGAACACGTCTCCACTGCTCTAGAGTCCAGTGGTGGCGTGCTTTACACCACTGCATCTGATGCTTTGCATTGCACTTGGTGATGTAAGGCTTGGATGCAGCTGCTCGGCCATGGAAATCCATTCCATGAAGCTCTCTACACACTGTTGTGCACAAAGCTTGGAGATCTTTAGATAGTTACTCTGCACAGTTTGCGACTTCTGCGCACTGTGTGCTTCAGCATGCGCTAACCCCACTCTGTTATTTTATGTGGCTTACCACTTTGTGGCTGAGTTGTGGTTCCCAGTTGCTTCAAACTTGTTGTAATACCACTAACAGTTGACCGTGGAATATATTGTAGCAAAGAAATTTCACAGATGGACTTATTGCACAGGTGGCAACCTATAACGGTACCACGCTTGAATTCACTGAGCTCCTGAGAGCGGCCTATTCTTTCACAAATGTTTGTAGAAGCAGTCTGCATGCCTAGGTGCTTGATTTTATACACCCGTGGCCATGGAGGAGAGATTGGAACACTTAAATCCAATGATATGGAGGGATGTTGCAATAGTTTTGGCAGTATAGTGTATGCTTTGTTGACTTATAACTAACTTTCAACATATAGAGTTTAAGGTGGATGTTTCAAAAAGGAAAGTCCTTTTTAAAATGATCATTTAAAGGAAATGTAACTTTGTCATATATGTTCACTTTATTATGTTCAGGGCTAAAATGAACTATTTTGAAAATAGCTGAACATTTTTTTAATCAGGCAAGTATGAAATATTTAATGTAATTCATGTATAATATATTTAATACTTGCAGCCAGAAGATGGTACAGTCCAGATAGTCTGCTACTTTTGTGGAGTCATGTTATCACTTTGCTGCGAATATGCTGTTATTTAATTAGAGAGGGACATAATCCTAATCTTTAAACTCTATGGACTTGCAAAAGTCTGTGCGAAAATGAGTAGCAGTGCTTGCTCTGCTCAGAAAATGTTGCTGATTGGTGCTATGTAGTGCTGGCATTTTGGACCGCTGTAGAGTCACAACCTCTCTCACACAGAGTGCCTCAATCCATCTGTGCAGCCTATTCTTTAGGTTTCATCTTCCTTTTGAATAAACTGTTTAGCATGAAGTTCGTGTGGATTTTTATACACCATTTCTAGAATAAGAGTGGGCCCAATTCCAGAAATACTTAAAGCTAAGAACTTGTCCCAAAGACAGAGTGACTAACTCTGTAAGAAACCTTGTCCTTCTGTGTAAGTGGGTAGGTAAATGTGAGGGTCTGGCACATCAAAGCCAGAGTAATATGAGAAGAGTTTAGGTGGTGATTGAGAGTCTAGGAGATGACCTCAAACTTTGTGGTAGAGCATTTACCCAGGCCAAGCAATGTTTACCCTAGGTGTATGGTTCTCAGATTAGCAGGACACAATTCAGTACTGTCCGTGATGCTTTTTTTTTATTTGCACTAACATACAATTTTGAGGACAAGCTTTTGCGGAGTGTCCAAGGTCCAAGCAGTACTGTTAAAAAGTTTTAGCAGAATGTTAGAAGATATGTGAGGATTGAGAAAAAAAAGCAGAAAGAAACACAAGCCTAAGGTTAGCCTAGAGATAAGTACAGCAAAGCAAAGACGGGGGGGACAGCACTCACAGAGGGAGTCATAAATATGTTGGATAATGACTGAGGAATCCCATGTCCAAATTAAGGCTGTTATCTCTTGTTTCAAATAGAATTATCATTCTTCGTTCAAAAGTTTTTCTTTCCTGGATGGATTTGAAATTTCCTTTAAGAACTAAAACATTGAGGTCTTCCATAATATGGTCTGGATGTGCGAAATGGTGTCCCACAGCTGTGCAAAGGTCATCTTCTTTATGTTCCTTGATGGTATGTCTGTGCAGATTCATCCTTGTTTGCAACTTCTGTCCTGTGCAAATAAAAAAAAGTATCACGGACCGTACTGAATTGTGTCTGTCGCAAGTGCACTAATACGGCTACAATCACCTCAAGCAGATTAGCAGGAAAAATCCTTGCATGTTAAATATCTCAATTTCTGTTTGTAATCTAGATGAATTGTGCCTGAAGTTTTGCATGTCTACGACAATCAAGAAATATGGAAACAACTATGTTAATGCAAATATTGGTTTTCTTTAGCTCTGGCTGCTTTCAGAATACAGTTTCTATACCTGTAGCCAAGGAGCCTAATGATCAATAAGGGGGTGAGTGGCCGGGGTGGGGGTCATTGAAAGAGGTGATCTGGGCCATATTATTGTATTATGCCAGCTTTCCAGGAATGCGACAGGGTATGCCCCCTCCCTTTCAATAAGACTGACAATCCACAAATTGTTCCTCTGCAACCTGTTTCCTCAAACATAATTTATATCTTTGTATTTTCAGCAGCAGTAACCCTCTCTCTCTCTCGTTGTGCATGTCTTGACACAGGATAACCATTTATCTTGAGCTTATCTGCCTTTCCCATTAGATCAGCTTAGTTGGCAGTACTTCAATAAGGTTGACCCTGTCCCTCCTTCAGATGCAGCCAAGTTGGGGGAGGTTGGGGCGATGATGTGCTGTTGAGCATTGTGGCTGGAGAGGGAGAATTTCCAGAGAGCTCAGGTGTGAACATCTGTGAGGCACGTTGTACACTGGCATGGTGGTCATCTTAGCAGGAACAGGTGGCGATACTCATGGTGGCCAGAAGCTGCTTCTTTGTTGTCAGTCCATTCACTAGATAAACCCCATAGTAGAGAATAACCTTCAATGGTCCTTGGGAGGTCAAAGAGAGCAGCTCCAGGATGATTACAAGAAGGGGCAGGATTGTGGAGGAATGTAGTGGAGCTGCATTGAAAAAAAAAAAGTGTGTTTATTTCACACATTGGCACTATCCATCATTAAAGCAGTGTTTTTTCAACCTTTTTTGTGCAAAGGCACACTTTTTTCATGAAAAAAATCACGAGCACACCACCATTAGAAAATGTTAAAAAAATTTACCTCTGTGCCTATATTGACTATATATAAAGTAATTCTCTTGAATAGGAATCAAACACAAAGAAATTATTTTATAATTACTTTATTATGAAATAATAAAGTATTTTATAATTGGACCCGGGGGCCGACCAAGAGTAGATGAATGATGTGTATGTGTCATCCATAGTAAGTATAGTAATATTCCCCCATAGTAAGCATAGTAATTAATCCCCCATATAGTAATTCATCCCCATAGTAATTAATCCCCCATATAGTAATTCATCCCCCATAGTAATTCATCCTCCATATAGTAATTCATCCCCCATAGTAATTCATCCCCCATAGTAATTAATCCCCCATATAGTAATTCATCCCCCATAGTAATTCATCCCCCATAGTAATTAATCCCCCATATAGTAATTCATCCCCCATAGTAATTAATCCCCATATAGTAATTCATCCCCCATATAGTAATTCATCCCCCATAGTAATTCATCCCCCATATAGTAATTCATCCCCCATAGTGTAATTCATCCCCCATAGTGTAATTCATCCCCCATAGTAATTCATCCCCCATAGTAATTCATCCCCCATATAGTAATTCATCCCCCATATAGTAATTCATCCTCCATATAGTAATTCATCCCCCATAGTAATTCATCCCCCATATAGTAATTCATCCCCCATAGCAATTCATCCCCCGTATAGTATTTCATCCCTCGTATAGTATTTCATCCCCCGTATAGTATTTCATCCCCCGTATAGTATTTCATCCCCCATATAGTATTTCATCCCCCATATAGTATTTCATCCCTCATATAGTATTTCATCCCCCATATAGTAATTCATCCCTCATATAGTATTTCATCCCTCATATAGTATTTCATCCCCCCATATAGTATTTCATCCCTCATATAGTATTTCATCCCCCCATATAGTATTTCATCCCTCATATAGTATTTCATCCCTCATATAGTAATTCATCCCTCATATAGTATTTCATCCCCCCATATAGTAATTCATCCCTCATATAGTATTTCATCCCCCCATATAGTATTTCATCCCTCATATAGTAATTCATCCCTCATATAGTATTTCATCCCCCCATATAGTATTTCATCCCCCCATATAGTATTTCATCCCCCCATATAGTATTTCATCCCTCATATAGTAATTCATCCCTCATATAGTATTTCATCCCTCATATAGTATTTCATCCCCCATATAGTATTTCATCCCCCCATATAGTATTTCATCCCCTCATATAGTATTTCATCCCTCATATAGTATTTCATCCCCCATATAGTATTTCATCCCTCATACAGTAATTCATCCCTCATATAGTAATTCATCCCCCATATAGTATTTCATCCCTCATATAGTATTTCATCCCCCCATATAGTATTTCATCCCTCATATAGTAATTCATCCCCCCATATAGTATTTCATCCCCCCATATAGTATTTCATCCCCCCATATAGTATTTCATCCCTCATATAGTAATTCATCCCTGATATAGTAATTCATCCCCCATATAGTATTTCATCCCCCCATATAGTATTTCATCCCTCATAAAGTAATTCATCCCTCATATAGTATTTCATCCCCCACAGTACTATTCCCCCCCCCCCCTTCTAGTAAGCCAAGTCCCCCGTGTCAATTCACTTACCTTTTGCGTTCCTCTCGCTGTCTTCCCGCGCCGTTCGGGTCTTCAGGGCGGACTGTGAGAGGAGCCTAGCTCCCCTCCCCTCACGTTCGGCACGCTGCCCCGCCTACACACATCCTGACAGCCACATCCGCAAGCCGGATTAAAAGGTCCGCGCGGACTTTTGGGGCTGCCAACCGAGAGGAGGCAGGGGAGCGGCCGACCGAGAGGAGGAGGGGAGCAGGCGCCCGGCACACAGAAGAGCCGCATTAGACTGGGTAAAGAGCCGCATGTGGCTCGCGAGCCGCGGCTTGCCGACCACTGAATCATTAGATTCTAATGATTGGTCTATTTGTGAGCCGAAGCCACATGTTACAGATGAAATTGGAATTTTTCCCACGGCACACCAGACAATATCTCACGGCACACTAGTGTGCCGCGGCACAGTGGTTGAAAAACGCTGCATTAAAGAACTGACAGGAACACAGGAAAGCGTGACAATTCACTTGACTTTTTACAGCAAGATTTGAGATTTGTATATGTTCGGCTGCCTATGTTCTGCACATTTATAACAGGTTACCTAGAAATAAACCACTTTCTGAACTTTCACTGTTTATGTAGCTGCTTTGTTGGTATGAAGTTAATAACTAAAGCAAAGCTATCAGCATGGCTGATCACTAGTTCTGTGGCGATTGCTGCTACTTGACTGACGCAAGTCCAGGTCAGAACAGGGACAGTAGAGGGACCCTCAGGTGTGCCAGGTTACAGTTATCCTGATGACCTCTATTTAAATTTTCCAGGAAGAAAATATCTTTAGATAAAATAGTACCAGCTATATTTAAACAGTCTTAGGAATAATTTATGTAGACTGC